TGCTCTCTGTCTCTCATTCTCTCTCTCTAAAATAAATAAATAAAATCTTTAAAAAAAAAAAAAGAATCTTTGAATATTTATATTTATTCTCCTTTGTTCCTGGGGCTGTTGACAATTCTGAGCAACTGTCAAAAAACAGACACTTTCTTACCTCTGGAGAAGTGAAAGTGTCTAAAGGGGCTTCTGTCATGCTCATTTCTAGGTCTGGCAGGTGTCCTGCCGGCACCCTAAAAAAATGTGTAGTTCACTCAAAACATGATACTGCTATGTGTAAAGAGCTTTGGCTTAAAAACAAAACAAAACAGCGAAAGCAGAGGCAACCTTTTTCTAGGCCATTCCTTTTGCTTGCAGGGTCCTTCTGATGCTGCTTTCCTCTGAAGATGCCCCCCGCCCCATTCAAAAAGCAATCTTAGAGACCAGCAGGGTGTCTTTTGTATCCACGTGATATTTGACGTGCCCCAGATGGCCACTTGGTGGCGCCAAAAGGTCTACTCGCTTCCCCATGTTCTTCCCCATGTTGGTGTGGGTACTGGAGGGTGAAACTTTTTGAGTAACCCAGAGGCACAAAGCCAGAAGGGGAATATCCAGACCAAAAGGGCAGCTGATCCTCGTCCTCGAGGGCCATTTGATAATACCCATTTTATTCAGATAGAGAAAGGGTGGGGATCTGAAAACGATTTGGAGAGCACCTTGGTGGCTCCGTCATAAGCGTCTGCCTTTGGTTCAGGTCATGATCCTGGGGTCCTGGGATTGAGCCCTGCATCAGGCTCCTTGCTCAGCGGGGAGTCTGCCTCTTCCTGCCCCTCCCCCCGGCTCGTGCTCGTACTCTCTCTCTCTCCCTCCCTCTCACTCTCAAATACATAAATAAAATCTTAAAAAATAATAAAAATGATTTAGTTATCCTGTGCACTGCCCTGGGACGGACAGATGCATGCATACACTCGTGTGTCAAAGTCATCAACACAGGGCCCCCTAACGATATTTTATTCCCAAGGTTGGTCATCTCTGTCCACTAAGCATAAAGGGACTCAGGCATTTCAGACCAGACTGTAAGGAACTTTGAAAAGCTACAAAAGCAAATAAAAACCTCACTCAGGTACCGTTTTCCATCCAATTGGAAAAAATTGGGTACAGACAGACAGTGTTGGTGGGGACTCAAGAAACACATTCTCTCCCACGTTGTTGGGGAGGGTCTAAATTAGAACCATATCTGTGGAAGACAGTTTGGCAAAAGTGAGCCGAATCACAAATCTGCATTCCATTTCTAGGAATATACCCTATGAATATGTTTGCACACGTGAATGTCACATTGGAGCATGGTTTGTTCTAAGACTGGAAAAAACACTTACAACATCCATAATAGGAAGCATGAAATTATGAACATCCACACAATGGAATACTGTGCAGTAGCAAAGACGGAGAGGTCCAGGGGAGCCCCACCCGAAACCAGTGCCCAGGTCCCCAATTTGTTCACCCCTTGTGAGGCCTTCCAGCCATCCGTAATCGCTTGCTCCAGCTCCTCCCAGGTGACCATGGTGACTTCTTCTCCAACAGGCATCAAACTCATCTTCCGGCTCACTAGGTCCTGATAGTAATAGACAACATGCAGGCAGACAGACAGACACACACACACACACACACCCCAAGTTTAATCCCAGAAAGCTTTAGGAACAGAACTGAGCTAACAGAATCCACAGCCCTAGTCCTGAGGAGAAGTCACTGTCCTTCAAGTGACCAGTGAGATTTGGGCAGCCAGTTTCCTGTCATATGTGGGCCCCTGGTGGGATACCGGGCAGGGATGGAAAGGATTTCCCCTCAATCCAGGGATAGTGCCCAGAGGGACAGAGGGCCTCACCCAACTTTGGAGGGACACAGACATCTGGGGTGGGAGTCTGGACATCCTCCCCTACTGCCCGCTTGAGGGCCCTTTGTTACAGAACTCGCCCATATTACCAGGAATTCATCCCGTTCTCTGACTATCTTCTCTAGTACATCAATCCGTTGGAGGGCTTTCTGGAAGAAAAGTTCAGAGATGGAGGATCAAAACAGCCCCTCCTGTGGCCCCTACACATACATACATACATACATACACACACACACACACACACACACAGGGAAGAAGAAGAAAGGCAGTGTGTGGATCTTACAGGAGCAGGGAGTAGAGAGGGGGCTGCTAAGTCAGCTAAATTGTTTTCTTTCCAGCCAACAAGAGGCAGGAAAGTGAGGTGTGGTGGGGGACAGCGTGCCAAGAGCAAATACTAACCCAGGGGTGGGAACCTTTGCTCCCGGGATTCACTTCATCCTACCCATGATCGAAACATTCTGGCACTACAGAATGAGGCTGACCTCGCCTCTCAAGGACAAAAATGATCAGGTCCTTCAAGGGTGTCTGAATGGCTGTGTGGTTTAAAGAGAAAAGCATCCCCAAAGAACCAAAACAAGGGCCACCTGGGTGGCTCAGTCGGTTAAATGTCTGCCTTCCGCTGGGGTCATGATCCCAGGGTCCAGGGATCGAGTCCCACATCGGGCTCCTCGCTCAAGGGGGAGTCTGCTGTTTCCCCTGCTTGTTTGGGCACTACCAAAACAAATTGCTAAACTTAAGTTGTTCCATATGACTTCTGCAAACCTCCGGAAAGTAGGAATCTAAAGGTAAAACAAGCCCTTGGTCAAAAAATCAATCAATCAATCAATCAATCTAAAAACACCACACTTCGAAAAGAAAAGCTTCCCAGGGCAAAGGTGAGTCCCACTTGGGGCTCAAGGCCTGGGATGAGGGGCAGAACGGAGGCAGGGGCCCCCGTGGCCTCCCTCAGCCTCTCCCTGGGCTTCTTCCTAACTGCCCCTCCTCCTCCTTCCAGCGCTGAAATAAGAGCACTGCCTAGTGCTTTGGGGCCCTACTGTTCATCTGAAGGGGGTTCTACTTTCTCCAAGAAAACAAAGATCCAAGTGAAGGTGTGGCTGGGGGTCTGAGAAGGGGCAGCGGAGTGCTAAGGACAGGCACTGCATGGGAAGGGGGCGACTCCGCGATCCGCGAGGTGGGGTCCCCGCCGTCCCTCACCGCAAGGCTCGACTCCGGGAGCTCCTGCGCCTTTTCCTGGGCTTCTTTGAGGGTTTTCACGTCCTCCACTACATCGTGCAGCAGCTCCATGGCCTGCAAGGTGGACACGGGGCCCTTCCGAGGCCTGGCGCGCCCCCACCACGCCCGCGCCTCCCTGCTCCCGCCGCCTCCCTTCCCGCCCCCGGGGAGCGGCCTGTGGGCTCCGCCCCCCTCCCCCTCCCCCGCTCCCCCCGGTTCCGCGCTCACCTGGGAGACCTGGGAGACGGTGGCCCGCTCGCCCTTTGCGATTTTCAACGACCCTGCTCGTGCCCTTGCCGGCGTCAGCTTGGCCGTCTCCTCCTCCAGCCAGTCCCGGGCGTCCAGCTCGCTGACGGGAGCCGTGAGGTGCTGCACGTGGCTCACGATGCCCTGCACCTGGCTGGTGACGGTCTTGAGCTGCCTGCTGAGGTCCTGGACCTGCCCGCCCAGGCCCTTCACCTGGCTCTCCAGCGCCGCCGCCGCCACCGTCGGTGGCTTGGCCAAGCTGCCGCGCGGCTTCTCTTTGGACACAGCCAGCTGCGGGGCGCTGAGCACGGCCTGCGGGGGCTCCAAGGTGCGGCTCGGCTCCAGCGACGGCAACGGCGACTGGAAGTCGATGCGCACCTCCTGCAGGTTGAGGCTCCGGAGCATGGCCACGATGAGCGTGTGCAGGGCCGTGAAGTTGACGGCGCCCACCTCCGGGGTGCCGATGGCCAGGTCGGCCAGCTCCCGGAGGGAGACCGTAGTGGTGGCCGCCGTCGCGGGCGGCATCGTGCGCCCTCTCAGCAGCGGTCCGCGCCCTCGGCCGGCCGGGCAGCCATGTCCCCCTCACTGCCCCCCGCGCCCCTAGGCGTTCTCCGGGGCACCAGTCACGGTCTGCCGCCCGCCTGGAGGACGGAGGGGAAGCGCCCGGCCGCTGGGCTTCCCACCCTCTGCTCCTGGGGACCCGCGCCCGCCTCCCCGGCGGGGTCCCGACACCCGCCTACCCTCCGCCGTCCAGTCTCCGAGCTACAGCCCTGGGCCGCCCTCCCCTCGCGCCGGGTCGCGGCCAGCAGACGTTTGGAACGGGAGGGACTGCCCGTTCGCTGCCGGGTAGTGCGGGACCCCGCGCGCCCCCAAGGGTTCTGCGAAAGAACTGGCGCCGTCTAGCCGGCCGGGACCTGCCCATATGCGAAGCCACCCCCCAACTCGCAAGGGGAGCCCATCGGAGCGGGGTCTGGGGAAGACTTGGCCATAGCCCAAGGCACCACAAATTGTTACTATCAGTTATCGCTCCTAAAGGGGCTATGGGGCTGGGTCAAGGCACTGCTGTGGGAACGCAGCAGTTTGGGGAGGCGAGGCGTCCTATGGCTCACCTAGATTCCAGTCGTCCCTTAACCTAGGAAGGCCTCCCATTCATTCAGCCACTAAGAACAGGACATGTAAGAGACACCATGTGTGTCCTTAGCCTGTTTTCATTATTTAGGGCAGTGGCACATTATCTAAGGGATGCAGTCCTGAGACCTCGGCCTTTTGGGGACAGTTCCCATCTCATTTTGCTTCATCAGAAAAGAGGGTAACTTGGAAAAGACCACTCGCCACCCAGGCAGCTCCAATGCGTCACCAGATGACAGACCTTCACTGTGCCACCCTGGCTTAGTTTATCTCAAAACAGACTCATCTGGTCAGGTGCCAGCATTTCAGCTCATCCCAAGGCAGGATTAGACAAGACTAGAGGAATTTGGTGCTCTCAGCAACTGGGGCTTGACTTCCCCACACCAGATTCTTCCAGAAAATGTAAAATGTCAGTGTTTACATGCAGGAAAGCTAAGGAAAACCTGCACAAAAATCTGTACCATGTACTCCTATTTTAACTACTTCTCAAATTCAAACTTTTAGTCTGCGTTGGTAAAATGTAATGGAAACCCTTCGTGCCCCTCGTCCCCAAGTGTTGCCTGGGAGTGGAGTTAAACATCAGTCTAGAACCTCCAGGAAGGTTAACACCTGAGGATTTTTGTTCACCATCATAGTCCCAGCGCCTGACACTCAGTGGGGCCTTCACATGCTTGCTGATACCATCAAAAGAACAGATTCTTTGCAGCCTTGTGCACTTAGGCTTTTACCCCATAAAACAAAAGGCTGGATCACAAAGTTAAAGCCTTATAGTGGGGCATCCACGGTCCTAGAGGGTGTGGAACGTGAGCTTCTTGATTCTAGGTTCGGTGACTTTCCAGAAGGATGTTATCCCTGCTACTACTGTGCTAGCACAGGCCGGAATCTTAACTCCCGGAATCCTCACGACTTCATCTGCATATGCCTGAGACCTGGCCTCATGCCAGGCACATATTAGGACCCACTAAGGGCCCATGGAAAGGGTGTATCTGAATATATTCTACTTCTAATCCCAGGAAATATATTCTACTAAATAAGTACATAGAAACACCTCTGTTCTTATAGACACAGGAAAATAAACATTAACTGGATGTATAAATGGAATTTTGGAGTTGAAAAGGACCTCCCTCAGCTGTCAGTTCCAAACCTCCCTCTTTATACCTGATGAGAGGCCCAGAAAGGACTAGTCATCTGCCTGGCCATATGAATAAGAACTAGGTCTCCTGAGTAATAGTCCACAGCTCTTCCTCCACCACCATGCTATCTGATAATTAAGTTCTTGCTCAAAATGCCCCTACTTGGACTATTAACAGAAGAGAAGGCAACTTGTGTGCTTGAAAAAGCTAATGTGCTCAGTCTTGATTGTGGCTTGGGAACTTTTCAAGTCATTAGGAAAGGGGTAAAAATGTCAAGGAAACGTCCCTGCAGAGAAATTTAATTGTACAAAGTAGCGAATTGTCCTTTACTATCCCTCAGGAACAGAAGCAATTCCAGCTCATTGCCCAACAGACAGGCTCTGCTCCTTCCCATTACATTCAGTCCTGCCCAGAGCAGGCTGAAGGTTTAAAAGGCCTACCTGACAAATGTGCTATAAACCAGAGTAATTTTAAGTGCTGGGTAGAAAGGTCAAGTGCAGTCCTGAGCAATGCCTAACATTGTCACCTATCACACAGGAAAAAGTATAATTCGTTCCATTTTTTAAAAATTTCGATTTTTAAATCCATTAGTCCAAGAAGGATTTGACTTTGATGTTTAGGAAGGGGATGGAACCTACAGGCGGAGACTCCTGTCCAGGGTTCGGGACCAGCCATGGACCTGGAACACCCTTTATTTTGCACCCGTTGTCTTCTGCACCGTCTGGATAGAAGTCAGTCACCTCTAAGGCAGGGGAGCAGGCGGTTCTGCAATAGAGTGAGCAGACTTGCAAGACAACAAATTCTTTTATTTGCCATTGAAGAGCAACGCAGGTATCCAGAGATAGGGTGTACTCTCTAATCTGACCTCCCCGCTGGGGTAATGCCACAAAGGCTTTGTTGTTCAGTGGCTGTAGGCACAGCAGCTTCTCAAAGAAAAAGAGGGTTTCCTACAAAGACTTATGTGAGGCTGACGGGGGAGAGGACAATTAGAATGGAAACAGTACCAGGGCACTCAGCTTCCCTAACCAAGTTCAATGCTGACACACATTTCCCTGCGGTAGAAATACCCGAATGTTACAGAGCTAAGACTATCTGCCCTTAACTCCTTTTCAGTATCAACAAAATTTGGGGATTCTTTTCAGGAAAGCGTCTGTAATTTTTTGTTTAAGGAACAGGATGGCGATGGCAGACATTTAAGGCCATTTATCCATCAGCTCTGTCTTCCCCTTGACTATCTTAATGCCTCCTACCTACCCAACTTGGTGAGACAGACTATCTGACTTCAGGCTATTTCCAGGCCTCCCTTGAGAGGAAACACTGTGTACATAAGTTGATGGCACTGCTCTCCACACGTTTTCCTTAGGAGTTCCACGGTCAAGGCAACAGTGACAGCTAGTCATCCACAGTGATGTTTCGGAAAAGGTACGCCATGGACTCCCCATTGTGGATTCTCCGAATTGCTTCAGAAAGAATCAGACTGATATCCACAGTCTTTATCTTGGGACACTGCAGCTTCTGCACCTCGTGAGGGACAGTGTTCGTCACCACCACCTAGTCATTGCAGCAGTGGAAGATAAGCACTGTTACTGATGTGTCCCCAACGTGGTCACCCAGAAAAGTCTGTCCCACATTTAGTTCCCACAGCCCAAGTTCCAAACTACAAAACCTTATTCCACCGAGTATAGTTTTTACAAACCAAACTTAACTGACCTTATACAAGAAAAAGGTTACACGGTTCAAAACATAAGATTACGAAGGTCACGGTCTACTTATGCAGAAATGGTAGGGCGAGCCCCGGCACCGTGCAGAACGGGAAGAATCCAAGTCTTGAGAGAAATGCTACCAAGGTACCGAACTATACTGAGACACGAACCATACCGAAGTACATAAAGCGAACCTTTATGAAAATAGACATCTATTCCTAACTATACATCTGTCCCAACACACTGCTAGCCACCAAGGGCTAGAATTACTTCAGAGGTCCTCTGGAGAGGGGTTAAGTAACACTGATGGAATCATTTTACTATTCACAGAAAAGAGAGCAGCAAATTCTAGGCCCATTAAGCGCAGACAGACCTCGTCAATGGAGGACTCCTCGATCAGGCGGGGGGCCTCCGCAGACAGGATGCCGTGAGTGGCCATGACGTAGATCTTGTAAGCACCTCTCTCTTTCAGGATCTCCGCAGCAGCAACAAAACTTTCCACATCATCAATAATGTCATCCTGAGAAGAGACCAGAGTGAGTAGTAAGGAGCTACCCTCTGTCTCTATAAACACACTCCTCTTTGCTCTTCTCTGCACTTTGTTTCAGAGGATCTCCAAGTGGAGATCAGAGCCACCTGCCTGGGCCCAAGATAGCACGTCGGGCAGGGGCAACAACCATGTGGACTGTGCTTTGCGTGGCTGTCAGTACAAAGAGCAGCAAAGCCTGGCAGTCACATGTGACATGCACAGCTGGAGTTCTAGACTGCCAAGACTCATTTCCCTGTTGCACACTTCTGATTAACCCGACATACCTGGTGTCCCATTTACTTTTTCTCAAGACAAAGTGAGATGACAAGAACACAGAAATAAAGCAAACCAT